ATTTTAATTTAATTGTGTCACAACTCAAACCTTAGGACTTTTAGCACTTTTCGGGTTTTGACAGGTTTCTCTTAAATTATTTAATTTCGACATTTACACCCAACTCATAAAATAGTTGCATTATGACCCATCTTATTAACGTAGGTTAAATTAGCGAACAAAAAAGTGAGGACGAAAAAGCACACATTCAAATACGCGAACACAAATCACTAAAATCACGTCCAAATCAAACCTCCAAAGGCCACCCAAAGAAAAAGAAAAAATGGACCACATTACAACGATTAATCAAGTTAAGGAGTTTGCTGTGAAAATCAAAAGTTCATGAAGCAAAGTTGAAAAACTCCAAAAAGTCCAGTGGGAGAAAATGCTAAAAACGTAAATTAACGATATTTTATGACAATTAAGTTTTAATAAAAAAAAAAAAAAAAAAAAAAAAAAAAAAAAAAAAGAAGAACAAAAGACGTTATGTTAATTCCTTTTAAATGTCTGGTTTGAAGTACTTTCCAAGGATTTTGCGAACCACCTCAATAACATTTCCACCTTTTCCAATTCCACGCATCAAGTCCAATTCCACATCAAACAGAGAGAAAACTATGTTTGCCAAGAGCCCAAGACGTAATGGATTGGGCCCTATTTCTACTTCAACAAAATAAAAATAAAAAAATCAGATTTATTACAGATTTTACCCTTCAAGTGTAGTGTTCAAGATATTTATTTTATTCATAATTAATACCTTTTTAATTAAAATAATTTTTTAACTAAATGTATTAATAAAAAATAATATGTAAAAATCTAAGACTTATGTATTCGAAAAAATATTTTGTATCCTTGTCCTTAAAATTCATCTTAACGCTTTTTTTTCTCCTTTAAAAAATAAGATTGCAAACATAATTTAACAATGCGTGTTTTTGTTGTTAAAGTCTTAATTTGAATCCCTATTTCTGATTTTTTTTTCCATAAAAAACTAGAATTTAATTTACTCTCAATCAGTCCAATTTTAACCTAATCATTACAGTAACATAAATTCGAGTGTTCTGTTGGTTTTTGTTTAACTCGTTATTTTCTTTCTTTTTCCTTTTTTTTTTCTTTTTTGATGTTGTTGTTCAAGATTAGTATGTGGTACTGTGATCACAATGCAGTACCTATGAAAATGCTGAAGAAAACTAATCTTCGGTGAATCATAAATATGGTTTAACTCTTGTAACCAGTGTTTTACTGATCAAAGCAGGAAAAAAAAAAGAAAAAAAGAAAAGAAAAGAAAAAAGAGAAAGAGAAAGGCAAAAATTTAGTTAGTGACTGAAAAATGTACCCACGTACCGAATTGGATTATACAATATACTATGAACTAAATCATTATAAATTCTCAAAAAAAAAAAAAAAAAAAACGAATCATTATAAGATGCGTCACTATATAGGCTTGTCTGACTAGGGACGTTTGTGGTCGATTTGAGCAGAGTTTTTTTTTTTTTTTTTTTTTTTTTTTTTTTTTTTTTTTTTTTTTAGAAACAACTAACCAAATGAAAAATAATTTTTTTTTTAGCGGTATAATATTTTGAAAAAAAAAAAAAAAACTAAATTAAATCAAGTCAGTCATAAGCGGGTTAGGCGGTTTAAGTTTAGGACTAAAAAAGTATTATACAATTCATAAAAATTATAAAATCGTTAATCAATAAAAATAATTAGATTAAAGCTTACAATATAACTTAGAAATAGAAAATGTCAAACAATTCACCATTTAAAATTTTAATATAAACCAACAAAAATATAATAGGGTGTATTTTATAAAAAATATTTTAAAAATTAAAAAATTATATATGTATATTTTTAGGCTGATTATTGGGCCGTGTGGGGAGTCCAAACTGTAAACTAAACCACCCAAAAAAATTAGATTAAAAAACTGACCAAACCGCCCAGTAATTAAAAAATAACTAACGATTTGGTACGATTTAGTTTGAATTGGACAGTTTTCCCGGTTTAACAGATTTTTTAAACACCTCTATATCTAACGACAAATTTTTTTTTTTTTGTTCTTCAAGAAAATACAAATATTTAAACGTTTGGTTCATGGATTAGAATCATGATATTAGAATCATTTTTTATTTACGTGTATTTTTTATGAGAGAAAATATTATAGCGAACTACGAACTATGATTCGAATCGGGATACGAATTCCCTAACCAAACAACTTGTCATACAGAGGAAATTAGCATACGTACATTCACAGTGAATAAGAAACGACGACTTAACAGACAATGATTGAAACATATTTGTCGAAATGAAATGCCAAACATTTCACCAGGTTGAGGATGATAAGTTTCTTTTTCAAGCAAACGCAAGAATATTTCCAAGCCAAAAAAAAAAAGAGGGGGCAAACGCAAGCATATATGTATGTTACACTGGATTTATTATGACAAACTTTGACTAAAAAGTTAAGATGGTGTTTTCGGTGCTTGGGCTAGGGACATGAGACAAATCTCTGTAAAATGGAGTCTAACGCATTGATAATGATTCAAGTTTTGAAAATTAATAATCTTGGTAGTAATGAGAATGGTGTTTTATTGTCAAATATATCTTACTTATTATTATTATTTTTTCCTATGAATGAAGATAAGCCATATTTTGAGGAGACAAATAATGCGAGCTTATTTTTCTTTTTAATTTTTTTGATTTTTAATATAGATGATGAGCTTATTTGGTCGGAATAATTTACTCTACCAATGTTGTTAATGATAATGGTTTTTATTCTCAAAAATAAATAAATAAATAAATTTTAGAAATGCTTATTGGGAAATACCCTAAAAATTAGTTTTCATACACACAATATATATTATAAGGAGCTTTTGACAATAGTGGATATATTATCGTAGCGCATATTTTTAAGTAGGGATTTTAAAAAAAAAATACACAAACCTAAGAAAACATGGTACAAATAAAAAGTACACAAAATTAAGAGAAGCTGATGCAAATCTCACAATTCAAAATAGAGCCTTACTGGTGGGGTACATATATATTTTTTCATACTATATGTCGCAAAAATTTCATTTCTTGTAATTAACATTTTTACTGAGATAAAGTTTTTATTTACCCGGCTATCACCATAATTGTGTATGATATTATTCTGTTGTACCATTCTCTTCACACTGATGTCATATCATCTTTTTTTTTTTTCCCTCCTAGTTCTAAATTATTCTTTCCAAAAAATTGATCTTTTTATATCTATTTCTAAAATATTCATGTATGAAAAACCAAAAATTGATGCGTACAACCTGCGTCGATTTAAGTAAAAATGCCATTCAGTCATATTTCTCTAACATAGTTGATTATATGGTACGTACTAGTTTGTTTTTGCTTGAATATAAAATTTACCAAGATAGTTAATATGTTGTATTATATGGTGATCATCTCTTTTGTTCCTTTTCTTTCAAATAGCGAAAAAGCACGACCCACCATTTATTTTGTCCTTTTTTCTCTATAAGAAAGAGGCAAACAAAAGAAGCTCTCTTTTCCTAGCACGTGGGACAGTATGTAATTGATGAAGAGAGACAAACTAAAGCGCTAAAAGAAAAAGAAAAAGAAAAAGACATCAAGCTTTGTTACCTATTTAGGTGACGTTTGGTTTATGAATTAGAATCATGATATTAGAATTATTTTTTATTTACGTGTATTTTTTATGAGAAAAAATACTATAACGAACTATGAATCATGATTCGAATCGGGATACAAATCCCCCAACCAAACAACTCATTAATGTTGTACAAAGGTGAATTTTAGAGTTCCACTCCAATATGGGGAGAAATATCTTTTCCTTTAGTATAATAATAATTTGGTACTTTTATAGCTTAATAGTCGTTATATGGATCCCTTGCAAAGTGGATTGCTCGTATACCCTTCTCATCATGAGACTAATATCAACCTTAAATTATTTTTGTGATATTTGGTAAAGGAATTCGTACTCAGATTTGAATCATGGTTCATGGTTCGCTACAGTGTTTTCTCTCACAAAAAATACACGTAAATCAAAAATAATTTTAATCTCATGATTCTAATTCATGAACTAAACGTCTCATTTGTCGAGTTACTGCCCTACCAACTTACTAACGGTGGAACTTGTACTGGAATCTATATTTCATTTTAGCACTTTCCAATTATATTTAATTAGTTATGTAAAAGTTTTGGTAGAAAATACTTTGATCCTTTAGTTTTTCTTTTGCTCGAAGATTAATCCTTATTTAGGTTAGAAAAGTTTTACTCTTTTTTTTTCTTAAAAAGGATTTTAGAGTTTACAATATAAATACAGTACAATCAATCATTTTTTTTTCTTACAGTTAAATCGTGCTTGATGGCCAAACTGATATGGAGCGTTAAAATATGAACTCCATTTGTTAGTGAAGATCTAGCATAAAAATTTTGACCTCCAAATCTATTTTAGCTTTATCTGTCTCGTTCATTTCACCGATTCGAGTTTCAATTTTAGGTTTTTACAGTAAAAAGCTTTCAGAAAATGTCACATTTAACTTTTTCTGCTACAGTGAAAAACACTCAAAAAATGTTACATCTCAGCTCGAATTGAAAACTCGAATCCGCGAACTGAGTGAGACCTAAAAATGAGTTGTACGATGTGACTAAAATGAACTGGTCAAAGTCAATATGCCATGATAGCTAGCAAGACAACAACTATTAATTTGTGCCCTACAACTATATGGGCATGGCAAGTGGACTAAACTGATTGATTCAACAATTAAACTTTGGCCTAAAAGTTATCCACACAACCCCCCTTAGAATTTGAGTCGTTTACCTTATTATAAATATCTTCAAACATGTAATAATTAAGACAAATAGTTAAAAAGGACAACACGATTAAATTCTTAAATTTTAGTGAGGGCTAAATATGTATTACTATACTAAATTTTTTATTTATGTATATATTTTTCAAAAAAACAAAATAGTTGAATGGAGGCTCATACTCGCACCAACTTAAAGTTGACTCCGTATCTGCATGTAAATTAAATAGAGTGAAATATAATTAGCTTATTTTTCACTACTAATTGGCTATGATTCATTGTTCTTTCACCGCTTTATTTTCGACATGCATTATTGTTGGGGTCATGTACTTTTCATAAAAGAAACCTTTGGAGCCCAACTTTCTCACCAATGTCTTGAACATCTTTTTTGTTTTGCTGTTTGTATTCTTTGAAGCTGAACTTCCTATAGATCCCTGGTTGGCTATAGCTTTCCACCATGGATTCATCAGATGGGCAAAAGAAATATGCAGCAGAGAACCTCTCAAATTGAGTAGCAACCACTTGGTGTCTGACACTTTTGTAAACTCCATTGCTTAAGGCCTAAATAGATATATCAAAACAGCACAATCATCATATTTGTTCAAGGGATTCTTCAAAATCAGGTAAGTTTTTCACCTATCTCTATAACTAGAATCAATTTTGTATCAAGTATTATGACCTAAATTTCAAAGGCAAATAAGGAAAATTGTTCCTTAAAAGAGAGAAAAAAAAAAAGGGCTAAATTGTATATTAGTTCCAAAAGGTATAACCCTTATATGAGTAGGATCTCATATGCCTAATGATGACTTTCAATGTAGATTTCCTTGATTATGATCAAAATATAAACAATAACATGTATATACAAATTAAAGAAGTAAACTACAAATTTTGTGATTGATCATTAATTACATACCTCAAATAAGTCTCCAATGTTAATAACAAGAGCTTCTGGATTAGGTTTTACGCGAAACCATCTTCCATCTTTGAGCAATTGCAGGCCTCCGATTTGGTCCTCGTACACGACAGAGAGGAAATCGGTATCGGTGTGAGGGATTAGTCCGAAGACCAGCTTAGAAGAAGAGTAAGGGCATGGAGGGTATCTGTTCATTCGAAGATAACTAGAGTTTGGAGGACAATTATCTTGGAAATAGGTGAATTGGACTCCAAGGTCTTGTGCTAGAATTTCAACTAAGGTTTTAACTAGATCTGATGCCGCTTTCGCAAATCTTTCCATTGTCAACCTGTTGATCCGAGCGTATTTAGTATAGATATAGAAAGATTATACACATGGCATGACAAATTAACGCCGGAGGCCGGGTCTATTGATTATGTGGGTTCAGATTGATAAATCATGTTATTGTAGTAGAATTACAAAATTAAACTGATTTAGAAATGTTGGTGCAAATTAACGGAAGAACACTTTGAATTGTGTTCATGAAAACATATCCACAAAAATACACATCTCCAGTATAATAGCACGCGTGTACAAATACAGTCACTGAGATGCACACACACACATAGACATATCTATATATTATCTGCATTGATCATGGTGAAAATCCCATTCAAACAGAGGGTTGAATGAAAGCCTGTTTGCTTTCAGAGGATACATAAGAAGTGGGAAAAAAAAAAGAAAGTGAAACAATCACATGATATCATATTTGCCGTCTTCAGTTATTATAATAATGCCTAGGATCTTTCTAGAGAGTACTGCTAATTTTTTCATTATCATCTCTTTATAAGTTAATGTTTCTTTTAAGTTGTTTAGTTACTTGATGATATTTGTTAACCCGAGATCTTACCTAGTACTTGTCCTAGGCCATTCTTCCGAGAAAATTGGAGATTCAACTTAATTAGCTTACACAAGCACTAACTAATTTGGAAAAATGCAACAAGAAGAGACACAGACGTCTAACGAAGAAACAAGAAGAGCAAGGTAGAGTACTACTAGCTGTATGGTATTGATCAGCCATTTCAGCCACATATATAAAAGGAAAGCAATGGTTATAGAAATATATATTTATTCTTACATACATATACATTTATATATGTATGTATGTATATGGTTATTAGCCAACAAGAATGAAGAGTTTAGCTAAACTAAGATAAAGCTATGAAGTTTAAGGGCTCGATTGGCTCACGGATTCGTATTGTGTGCTTCTGAAATTTTTTGGTTTGAACTGAAAATTCTGAGTCAATGTGGTTTAAATTTTGGTTCAAACTGACATTTAAAAGTTTGAACATGAAATAAAATATCACATTAGGGAACTGATGTTTGGTCAAAGAGTGCCAATCTAATTAGGATGTTTTGAGCCGCTTTGATATCAGTTATCCTCTTTCGTCATTTATATTAAAAAAAAATGATGTTTGGATAGTATAAGAATTGTGAGGGAATAAGAAATTGAGCTATAGTTTTACTACAGCAAACCGGTTCAAATTGTGTGAATTTAAGGGGGTCTAAGTTCTTCAAAACTGATTTCGAACAAATTCAAATATCACAACATGTTTCAAAACTATCTCAATTAATATACATCTAAATACCCGTTTGAATCCACGTGAACCCACAAAACGAACAAGCCTTGCACTTCAGGGTCTGAGAAAGCATATGGCATATGCGAAAGATGCCAAAATGTGACGGCCTAAAAACTTTAGGGCACTTACAGATGGCAACTCTGACAAGGCTTTCCAAACGGGTCGACCTTTTTTTTTTGGTTCACGTGGTACACGAATGGTGCCCAATGGTAGCTGCACAACTTGTATATCTTGACCTTTCTAGTGTTACTATTGACGAATAACAATTATGCGCATGCAGGCCCTTGTGACAAGGCATATCATTATGTAGTACTCTTTTGGATTTTTACAAGTGAATGATCACATTTATTCTCTGATCTCTCTCTCTCTCAATATATATATATATATATGTGTGTGTGTGTGTGTGTGTGTGTGTGTGTGTGTGTATAAGTGCAATACGATCGTTTCGTAAATGTACTCCATAATATATGTAGGCATATATGTGGAAATACGTAGCTACATACTTATAGGTTTTTTCGTATGTATACATACGTGTGAGGGAAAAAAACGCATGGAATATATATACATACATATATATATATATACATATACATACATATATATATATACATATACATACATATATATATATGTGGATGTGTAATGATTGATAGAGATATGATATACTACTTACAATTTTTGAATGGATAGTATGCCCCGTTCATTTCACTGATTTGAGTTTATAATTCGAGTTTTGTTATAGTAAAAAGCTCTCAAAAACAGTCACATTTAACTTTTTTGCTACAACAAAAACTCTCACATAAAGTCATATCTCACCTCAAATCAGCGAACTAAATGAGCTGTCAAGAAAATTCAAGGACTTCTTTGACTTGTTTGGTATAAGGGATAAGGATGTGATGATTAATTAATCAATGGTATCTTTTTACTTAAATTAATTTAGGGAATTTGGATAAGGAATGGATTGAGGGATTCAAAATCATACATAGAACCCCAATCTTGTTTAATTCTTATCTTCTTACCTCCCTTTTCAGGCCACTTCAGTTTCATAGAGGAAATAAGTTTGAGTTGTTAGTCTAGCTAGGAGGCATAGATCATTAGTCTATGTTTCCACCAAATAATAACATATTCTCTAAAATATTTCACCAAACCACAAATGCAGTTAAATTAAGCAAATAAACTTATCACATTTGTGTAACTAATGTTGACGGTAGAATTTTATCAACAAAAATACACCTGATTACCGTCTAGTAGTCGGTTGGATTACCGTCTAGTAGTCGGTTAGATTACCAGTTGACTCACGTCAAAATAACAACTTTATGTCCGATTAAATTCAATTAATAAAGTGCAATTGTTCGTGCATGTGCTTTATGGATTTCGCTTTAAGGTTTCTCAGAATATCAAAGGAACTAAAAGAAAGATAAGAACTCCAAGATTTATAGTGGTTCACTCTTAATGCAAGAGTTACATCCACTTTGAGAAAATTCCCTTTCTTTTTCTCTCTCTGTTTTTTTTTTTTTTACTACAAGAAGCTCAGTTCTCTCTTATGTTCGTATCAGTCCCCTCCTTTTCTCTCTTGTGCCATGCACCTTTTATCTCACACAGATTACATTGTGGAGTAAACTGAGGCGTGTGGTTACCCTGCAGTTACTCTTGAGTAGCCCACTATCCTACTCATCTAGGCTGTAGCCCTACAGTGCCTATCTGATTGTTCATCTACCTACTCTGCCAAGAATTACGGCTTTGTTGCTCCCCCATGATTTCCTATTAGCCTCTTTTGGGCAGCCAACATGCTGGTAATCATTTCTCTTGCCAATGGCTTTGTTTATACCCGCACGTTACCTAGGGATTTCTCTCTTGTCACCTCAGGGGATCTTCTCGGGATCTGGATCAGATAATTGATCGCATTGTCCTATCCATTTTTCACTTAGCCTGGATAGTAAGTTCAGACAGGGCCCTCGTCCTCGTCGATCCTTGCATAGGATTGACATCCTATAGGGATTTGAAACCATCTCCGTCTTAGCTATTCGGTGGACTGCCATTTTGGACAGTTTGAAAGAGTTGAACTTCAAAGTCTGAAAAGCAGATACTTCGACCGTCGGCGCCTTCTGGGGGAGGGGTCTTTGTTGACCCTTAAATGCTCTTGCGTAATGGCCACGTGGAGCCTATCTGTCGTTTGATGTGGCAAGTTAGATTTTCGCACATAACAGTTGCCCCCTAAGTCGAGGCTTTCCTTCAAACTGCCTAGAGCTTTAATGACGATGAGATTTACTCTTGTATTCTTACTTGCTTCGGTTGAAGGATCCTAACTCCAAACCTTATTTGTAATGATGGATCTGATGCCGAAGAGACCCCTTGGGCAGCATAACAGTCGCGTCAATTCAATCACTTTGCTGACGTCACCCTTTGTTTTAAACGGATAGACCTGGGCCATTGCATCACACCTTTTCAGTTTCCCACTCATTTTCTCACCGTTGGATCACGTCTCTACGTATTCACTGATGGATGCACAGTTATCTCATCTGATGGTTAGGAGTCGAGGGTTTTCCCCTTTATAAACAACTTCTCGGGTGAGCCTTAACCATTCATCATTTCTGAGCGACTGCCGAGACTCTACCCAAATTCTCCAGGCTTTTCTCTGGCCCTTTACCCACAAAACCGTGGTTCTCCGGTGATTTTTACTCCAAAACTGCAAATCTTCTTTACTCCCGGTTTTCTGGTAAGTTTCTCCCTTCTATTTCTTCTTCTTATTTCGTGTTGGCAGTGTGTTGGGGTTTATATCCCCTTTCCACATTTTACTTTGGTTTCGCTCTTGCTTGCGATGATTTTCCAAAGGAAATAGTTAGAAATAGCGAAATAGGGATGAAGAGGCTTTCCTTTGGTGTTTTTCGCGCTGTTCTGAACTAATTTTAGGAGTTTTGACTGAGTCTATGGAACTTTAAAGTCTGGGTTTCTGTTTGGTTTTCTGTGTTCGCTTGAATGGTCGTCGCTTTGTATGAGTCATCGGCGTCTTACCTTGTCTTAGGTTTTTAGTCTAAATTTAGGTGTTAGACTATTTAGGAGCTGGACCTTTTTTTCCTTCTCCCCTCTCAACTTATAGGATACTGACTTCAAATTTGTCCTTATAGTCATCGTAACCAAAAGGTCTAGCCATCGAGGGCGGTCGACGTCTGCGCCTCTTGTGAGGTCAGATAATTCCTCAGCTGCCGAATCCTCTATCTCAACTAGCAATAACCCAATGCTAAAGGAGATTAAAGAATATACCCTCAACCCCCGGGATGATGATGACAACATCGACCGCTTGTGGAAGGGAACGAGGCTGCCACGTCAAGTGCTTCCTCTGACACCTTAGAGGGGGGCGTGATGTCCAACCACAACGAGTGCTGGACAGGCGTTCCATTGACAACGATGGCAGTGGATCCAGAAAGGCGATCCTTCACGGTGGACAACATAGCGTCGAAGACTAGCAAGAGGGACATCGTCAAAGCCTATAAGGAAGGACGTATTAACGGACGATGGTTCGAGTACTTCCTCCCAGATCCCAATTCCACACGAGCCTTCCACCCCTGGGTTACCTGTCTGTGTACACCAGGGCTTTCATTACGAGGATGACTTTCTCTATCCACTATTTTGTAAAGGATCTCTACGAACTCCACGGCATCTCCCTCACACAGTTGGTGCCTAATTTTTGGTATTGTTTCACCGGCATGTG